GCAGGCGTTTGTGAGGTCACATGGCCAAAGCGGGAGGTGGTGGTACATACAGACGGGTAATGAACCAGCGGTCTCACGTGAAAGGGGGGACGTGTGCTGAAAGCTACGAGGACAGGGTGAATCACTACACTACACGAATCACTACAGATAAATATATTCGGAGCAAGTAGTGTTCCACATCAAGCTATCACATGCACAAATTACAAAAGGCTTTAATTTCATCAAATGCAAATCAAATTTATTGAATAACTAGGGGTTGCCCAACCAACACACTCCAAGTCAGTGTGGACATAAGGTGAGGCCAACTTACTGATATCAAAACAACTTAATTACTATCCAACCCAGAACCGCAAACTGCAGGAGGACAACTTAAGCAGAAAAGTCATCAAATAATAAGTAAAAAGTGATTCAAAAGTGAAGAGAAGTTGAATTCCCCTAAGGCGCTCACATCGCACATTACAGGCCTCCTCATCTAAACCGACTACTTGCGGTAGTAGCCTGTCAAGAGAAGATTTTGGCGCTTTAAACAAAGGCTTCAAGTTATCTTTTTTAGGCGCGGGGTCGTGGATCAAGTCGGTACGTGCTGATAACGCCGCGCGCATGTCTGCATGTGTATGCACCTACAAGCAAGTCACCGCATGCATGCCTTTTCCTATACACAGCCGTAGTGGCATGTGCTAGGTCAAATCAAGAGTTTTAAAAGGAAAAGTCAACATAAGGTGAACTAAGCAGTAGGATGGTTCAGTTTTAAAAGGAAACGCAGCTGAATAATCAAGTAAAGTTCAGAAACTGTATTTGGAGAAGGCTGAAATGGCAAGGAAAACAGTACATCGTCGACATAGGTTCGAGAAAGCTCCGGATGATAGAATTTTAGCATCTGTTGGCTATGTTTAGGGCCGTGATCATAATCATCTGCGATCCGAAACCACTCAGTCCTTCTCACCGAACCCTAAGCTAATCCCTCTCCTTCAAGCGTCAGCACACAGTGAAGACAACGCTCAGTTTTGATTTTGCTTATGGCCTGGAAGAGCAACAAGGCGTGACAGAAAGCTCTTCAGCGCTATTATTCACCGTTTTTTGCATCAAACCCAAAGATCATATCTTCAGATGTAGTGACTCGTCGTGAGCTCTCGATAATTTCTGTTGGACGACCGATGATATTTAGGCAATAACATAGTCATACTGAGACGTTTTCCAATAGGACTTCAATGTAATCCGCCGAATATCGTTATGCACTTAAAGGAGCTATTCCTATTTTACAGGAACGCTTTATGAATGCATCAGTTTTACAAGCAAAACCTTATAAAAGGTTCAAAGATTGATGGAGTAATACTAACAAAACCGAATCAAAAAAGGAATCTCATGGAGGACTTTTGCACATTCATGTGTATGACTTTTCGCTGTGGCCAACTTAGACTTGTTAGGTGGAGCCTCTCCTTCTGCGATGGTTAAGAGGCGCAAGTTTTTCCTGAATAAATACAGGGAACGGGTACTTGGAGCAGCATAAAAAATCAAATCAGGAAATGCATTCAAATGCCTACTACATTATACGTTAAAATCCAGTAGTTTAGTCACATCAATTTTGCTAACAGGAAGAAGGGAACCGTCCATCATTGGCGCAGGCGAGAATGCTTGCTACATGGAATTAATTTTTTAGTTTTCAACATCCATTATCACAGCATAGGGTTAGCTGCTTGATCTCAAGTAAGGTGTTTACAAACCACAGATGTTGGCTAGACCAATGTGTGATGCTGATGTTCCTGTGTACTTGGCGTTTGAACGTTTGACGGACGATGTGTGAGTGGGTTTCGAATCAACAGTCTGAGGCCTTCTTGGCCACTATTTGCTTTGTGCGGTCAAACTTGAATAATTCAACAGCAGTTTTAAATTCGCAAGGAAGTAATTAGTCTCCGTAAAGGCAAGAAAGCTATTGAGGATCACAAAAGGTATGTTGGTTGCTTAACAGAACGTAAGTGTCAAATTCGTGATGCTTAACTCAGAAATTATCACCTCCATTCTGACAGTCCTGATGTGACTGATGACGATCAAGTCAGCGCTACGGTTGAATCAGAACGTGGTTAGATCACTGTGCAAAGACCTTACACATAACAATGAAAAATCACTTAAAAAGGAATTGGACTCATTCAAAAGCTCCACATTTGGGTTCCTCATGGTTTGAAAGAATTTAAGTCGACGTAACGAATCAACACTTGCGAAAGGCCTCTCAAATGCAGCGGAATCGTCCACTTTTGGGAAAAATTGTCAACATTGAAAAATAATACACCGTCAACTACAAAGCGTTACTCGACAGCAATCGAGGTGCGGGGGAGATGAACCAGTACAAACCACATCGAACCACATCATGCTGCCAGGGATGTGGAATTGCGAATGTGTTGTGTACTTTAGAAATCGTTGAAAGTGTGTTGTGTAAATTAGGAATTAGACAATCAATTTCTTTTCTGATGTCGCCGAATCGCATAAGAAAAGATCGTGCGAACAAGGATGTAGAATTGCAAGGTTTTTGTGCATTCTGGACACCCTCCAGGAAATCAGACAGTCAATTTCGGTGACTGCTCTCAACACATAGCGGAATCGGAACATTACCCGACTATTACAAATATTATTTTCAACTATTGTGAGTTGACTGGGGGCGGAACGCAGGCGTTAATCATTTAAAAATCCACTCTTGTCTCGACTCTGTTAGGAATATACAGCCCAAAAAATGCTAAACTCAAAGTGTCGCATCAGTATCGGCAATGTAGGCATTAAAGATAGCAGCGGTGTTCTGTGGCCTGGCTTAGTCAACGGGCTGTGACAACGTGTCGTCTTAATATTACAGAACCACACAATCTACGTAAACATTGTTTTATTGTAGTTGCACTCCATAAGGCGTAAACGACTACGGCGTTTACTGTGTAGTAATTGGTGTGTATGGGCAAGCGGAATAAGTAATAAATTGGCAGTCACGTGACACAATACCAAGGCCTTTATCTTGGCCATTCACAAACGTCTAGGTCAAATTAGTACGTCAGTGTGGAGCCAATTCACCTAAAAACATGTGAGTTATTAAACTAATTTTTAAAAGGCGGTAAAAGATGGAAGCCTTGAGACAAGCCACTTCTGTCACGCTCTTCAGTGGCTAATTCATTTCACACAAAACATTACAGAAATCATATGATCAAGTAACAGGCATGGACCAGACAGTGTGACGTTTGTCATCTCATTTCAGTACAACCCTTTGTTTGAATATACTAGTTTTGTTGGAACACTGTTCAAAGTCTTCGACAGAGGTAATTGATTGTATTTGTTGTACACATTTACCGTGTACTCCAATTATTGCCTTACTATATTTGTTTTTTTGGGATAACCACAATATAAATTTACAGTACCGAATTGTATTTACTGTTCTTCGATTCCAGTGCGTATATCCATTATTGTTTGCGCAAGTGTTATTTTCAGACACGAACACTATCTTTACAGTAAATCACCCGTGTTATTGATCTGCACGCTAAGGTTTAAAACCCAGATACGAGATCATGGCCACTGCATCGACACAGCACTAAGTGTTTCAGTTGTACCTTTTTCCGAGGGTATGCCGTTTCTACAATAAAGCTGCCCTATTGTCAAATAACACCAGACGTCACCCAAATTTAATTTAGTGATAGTTACCCCACGGGGGTTAATGTATTGCCATTGAGATAAAAAAACAATATCTCATCAGAAAATTTTTAAGTTCCTAAAGCATACTCGGGTCAGAAAACTTTGAATTTAAGTGTATCCACTAGACCACGTTTTCCAGTTCACATCCAAAACTGACATTAGGTCAGAAATACATAAACATGAAAAGATATCATTATAAAGGTTACTTTAGTCAACTTCAGAAGTTACAGGCTGGTTTCGTAAAAAACCTTTTGTCCCCGTATGGATACAAGCGGAGCCATAACCTCACACCATGAACCTGTCGGCTTCAAGGGGCTACCCTCTAGCATCCGACCTCAGGCATCGGTCAGTCCACGAAACATTTTGTTCCCATATTTTATTCGAGTTGTACTACTGGCTGTCGATCGACACTTGAGATTTACCTAAATGACCGAGGTTTAATGAAAAAAACTTTGGGGGAGTATTGCAACACAAGATTCGACCACTTCTACTTTGAGGAAAGCAGCTGGAAACATGTTGTTGCTTCAAACAGGCGGTGAGCAAGTACGAATGCGTAAATGGCATAAAAGTAATTTAAGGCAACACTTCATACTTGAGAAGACTGTCCCTCTGGTGCATAATCCATCGGTTCTGAGCGAATTGCAGTCAACTCCTGGAACGTCATCTGGCCACCAACCGCTGATGAGTGACTTTCCGAAGTGCCGGTAGAGTATTTTTCTCTCTTCGGTGTTGGAGGTAAGACATTAGCAGGCACCGACGCAAAGCCACCTTGAGGATCGATAAGTTCACCAAAGCCCCCACTTGTAGGGGTGGGAGCAGAGATCAGTGGCCCCGGTGAGGTCTTAATCGTCCCACCATCCCCAATTCCGTTCGGCTGGTAGCTCAACTCTCTATGTCCTTTATCATCATGTCCACCATCGCTATGGTAACACATCCCGGACACAAAGCACCGATGCTGATCTATTGGGGCTTGTGCGTAGTCCATCCCACGTGCTTTCGATTGAAACCGCGCCTGTGCAGACGATTCATCAAAAGCACCCATCCCAACATTTGAGAAATCCATGCTGACATCTATAGACACAGTAGAACTGAACGCCATGCACAGGTATGGTGTCACGGTAGGTGCGCCTGCAGGTATTCACATGCGTGCACGCAGGCGACGCTGAGCCAATTAGTGTGGAGTCAGTGGTGAGACGGGTGTGTGCGTGCGTGTGTTTACAGATTGTGAGATGGGTGTGTGGAGTGCGTGCGTACGTTTGGTGTTTTCGCCAAACTACTGATCATTATAAGGGGATTGCTCACTGTCGGTAAACAAAGCTTCTCAGTTTTGAAGTTGGGCGGTGAGCAGTTTGGTCAACACTACGACGCAGCTTAATTTCATCGACCACATAAAAATGAGACGATGGGCGGTGATAATGACAAAATACCACCTAATACAAATACAAAAAGTGAATATAGTAGTTTAGAGGAATTTTTGCTGTCAATTTGAGAGGGTAGAATCTGCCATAAATACATTCATAGGTATTGACTTTTTTCAAGAGATTTCATAAATATCGGCAGTGATTTGGTAAAGGAAAGGGTTAATTTCAAACGCGGAAGAAGGGTTTAATGCGTACATGTGTTCCTATTTCGACATTTCCAAAACAGGTTCTTCATAAGCCTCCCTTAGTCTTTGAATTTCGTTAACTTATAGTGCTGTCTACCGTACTGGAGAATCTAACCCAACGAAACCGCATTTGCGAAATGCATCTCAAGCGCAATGAAATCGCTCATTGACAGAAAAACTCGAACGCATTCTAGGTGCCCATGAAAAGTGTTCAAAATCAATCTTATGTAATAAAATGCCCCACAGAAAGATTACCATTTTCTCTGTTCCATCTCCAGATTTTTACCCAACTTTAAACTAGTCATTTTTATTTCCCAACACAAGTGGGAACAAGGTGTCGCCAGCTCTACAAAAGTTTCCTTTAGCAATTTTCCCTATAAGTTGAGTCGTCATAGAAGCTCTGCCAAGATGTCGTGAGGTAATTTTTTCCACTTTTAGGCAAAAAAAGTTTGACCGCCATGCCACGAGAGGAGAAACTCGAAAAGGGTGTCCGAAGGTGCCGATAGAACAGGCCATCGAAAATATACCCTAGTCGCTTGACTGTAGGTCCGCTACACTTTCAACCAACCGACTCGATAATCTGTAAGTTAGTGCAGTTTTAGTGACATGGATGTAATAATGCAATACCTAGATCTTGGTTTTTGGCACCTCAGTAAATAGCTAACCATCACAACTTCCAGAACGCTCGATCTGTCAAGCTGGAATGACGGGTAAACAGAGTGCACCTAATGTTACTGGTCGAATATGGCCTCTCACTGCTTCACATTATCCCCTTTAAGGTTTTCTTCAAAGTTTCTTTGCGCTTTTATCTCACGAACAACCGCAAGAGAAAATGTGGAGCCAATGAAGGCCGATACTGTGACATTTGACCTCAACGGAATTTCGACCTGGCCAAGTGGCCTCACTGTACGAAGTTCCTAACCTCTAAGTCGTAACGCTGAAATGTTGTAAAAAATCTAATTGAATATTTAGTTAGGAAATGTCGGCAAGGAAATTACCATTGTAGTAGGAAACGAGGGATCAATGTTAAATAACTTTGTGGCATGAAGGGATGATAGCGGTTGTAGCTAATTAGATTAAAAATTAGTCGGTAGGGATTAATCTTAACACTGCACTGTTATACATTGCAATATGACTTTTGGTTGTAGCAATAAACAATAGTTTCACAAACTGTCGGAAATTGACACAAGGGGTGTCTTAGTTGTTGTGGCATTTGGGTGACCTAGATATTGGACAGCTCTGACGATAATCACACTTCTCATGATGAAACCTTTCTAAATTGCTCGAAATTGGCGAAGAGAATTCCTACTTTTTTCCAAGACGTGCCAGTCAACTGTCAGCGAATTCGCAAACAGTAGCAGATCACGGAGGGAACGGCAAATTATAATCAGAGAACATGAAACCATCCATTGGATGTACCCCCTTGAAGAGAAGAACATAAACTCAAGTAGTAGCTCAGAGCTCACTCATAATTGGTTGATGTAATCATAGATTGGAAGTGTTCAGTCGGGGAAAGCAGGGAAACCCCTCACTGACTATTCACCTTTACCGAAGCCCATTTATGCTTTTTGTTGAAATTTATAAGGTATGATTATGGCTATCTTAGCGTAATTTACATTTTACAGGTTTAGCAATAAAGGAGGTTCGCGTAGTTTAATCTAGTAGTAGAGATTTGGGTGAGTAGATTTACCTAAAAATAGCAGTAAAACTAGAGCACATACTACACGTTGAGACAGAGCATAAAGCAGATTCTCTGACGTTGTAACGTCTAAATTTGCAAAGTGCACACTAACAGGGGTTTGAATAGTGGATACGATAAAGAATGGTTTCAGAGGCTTGAACAATGGGAGCCTGCTCATGGACTAATACGACCTCCGAACCTACTGTTGCTGGAGCTTTTCCCTCCTCAAGACTGCTTTCCCATGTAAGTGCTATTCGATTGGGAAATAGTAAACAACGAAAAAAATCAAAGCCTCATTAAGTACTGATAGGTATTGGTGTAGCAAGCACTCCGAGAACGGACAATTATCCTGAATTTTAAACTTCACGTAGCCGTGTTAGCGGCAGGTGGTAGATGATAGGACCACTGAAGGGGATCTCTCTGAAGCCCGTAGCTTTGTGTGCGCGCCGTGAAAAGCAACGGTCGGCAAATTTAAACTGGAATTACCTTATCGCACATGAATTGAGGAGAAAAACATGCGTCAAATGCGGAAGTTGTAGGACCTCTGGTTGTTTCATGAACTTGCGTTAGCAAAGTTTCCTGCCGTGTAAAAACACTCAAAAAACGGTCTATTAAATAGGTAGTGGTATGGCTTTGAGGTCAGACAGAACTGTTACAAATGCTAAAGACAAAAACGTCATTTTTTTTTTCACTCAGGTCGTGCACGAAAAATATCGTAATTCTGTTTGGAATAACCGCCGATACCGCAAAAAATGCCCCAAACCACAGTGACAGACATTCTACCACCACACGAAGAGGTGATGAGATCAGCACACGCGCACACTAGCGCAGCCTCATGAGATTCATTCAGACGGTGAATTGAGAAACGCAGTGGTATTAACAAGTTGAGGCAGATTCCGGCAGCTTTACTGATTCTTTGGGTTTTCGTTATCTCAGCATTACTCATCTGTCAAATAATACATCATACTATTCAGCTCCAATGGTTAAAGTTAAAAGAACCTAAACAGTTCACAGGAGGCAATTCACTGTTATGAATTACAAATACTGTCACTTTAATTCGATGCAACATAATCTGGCTTCTTTTTGAAATGCTCCTAAGGCAACCTCGTACAGATCCCGGCGGACAACGGAACTTTCCTTTGAGTAAGTAAGGCAACGCCAGTGTCCTGTAAAGGTGGTTGAGGTGGGTAATAAGTGGCATATCATGTTGTCCTTTGTGTGTCACCTTTCATGACTGATGGAAGGTGGCAAGCGGAAATCCATGGTACGTGTAGTTGATTAAAAAAGCTGACATCCATATGAAATGAAAGGATAAACGGAAGAAAAATAGCTGCGTGCGCATGGAAACAGAATAAGCCAGAAGTTACTGAACAGCAAGTTCTCTACCAACTACTTGGGAAATTGGTTACTTGTGGACTACTATTCTTAACCTAACCAGTTGATGTGACCACATCCTGCAGATGTTCATTTGAATGACTCGCTTTTTAGAAAATTGGGGCTAAGCGTTTCTGTTTCCAATAAGTGTGGTGCTCAAGTAAAGGCAAAAACAAATAATCAAAGACCGCATATTGAAGAACGTGCAGTAATTGCAAGAACAATTTGCCAAGCACAAGAATCAGAACCACGACCGCTCCTTGAAAATTCAATTGAACACGACACAAGACGGGCTTCACAACAATTTAACAAAGGCTGCACAATGCCAAAATCGCACCACTAGTTCAGCGAAGACGTATAAGACCATTGTAAAGCACTAGCCTCTGCGTGTACCTGACCTTACACCCTCGGACTTTCTTTGTCGAGGAGTGATTTTCACAAATCTAATTCGAAAAAAAAACGGCGAACCACTTAGCACCTTGCAGGGATCACAAAGAAGCATTATGTGATACGTTGTTCTTCTGGGAGCTTTAAACTTTACTCAAGAACTTAGTCTGCATTTCAAGCATGTTTGCTTCGGGCATATCTGATTTAGGATACGGTCTTAGTATAGGTGCTTGAATTTCAACAAAAAACCTCGATCACCCGATTGTGAATCACTCATATTGCATTTAGAGAAATCCCTAAGTCGGTACACCCACAGGATTCGGATCGAGTCTTGAGAAAACAACACACAAGATCGAAGACCATGATTTTGACCTTGTAACAATATTTGCCAGGATAAAGCAGTACCACGTAACGATTGATAGAGCAGACTATTGCGATTTTAAAATACTTACGATGCAGTTTGGCTTAAGTTTACATTAAAGTAAGGGAACACGTTGAAAACTTGAAGGTGCATGAGCAGAAAAAAGATCTTCATTGCAATTCCGGACAACATAATTGTCACTTAAAAAGCACATAAAATGAATTAAAACTGATACAGCAGCACACACGAGCACCTGAGAACCGTATTTTTGCAGGCTTAATGAGTCGCCCTAATGTCCGTGTAACTCAACATACACTTTCTTACGTAAAATCCAGACTTAATGAGGAACACTTATTTTGGTCCCGTTCGCCATCCGGAAAACCCCTTGTTTGTCGACTGCGCAACACCATATAAGTTGTCAGTGAAGAATCCATATTGTGCCTACATTGGGACTTGAGGTTTGAAATGTTGGTCTTTATCAAGTCGCATTGAATGTTATTTTCTGGAACAAGAAAATCGATCTATTGTGCAGGTGTCAGTCTTAAGTCGTACTGACTTGCAGGTAAGTAGGAACTTTATTATGGCCTCAGAGATATGGGCTGAACACCACAACGCTAGTAGACTTGGCAAATTGGCCTCCACACAGGGATTAAAGCCAAGACCAAATTTAAAAGAAGCAGGTTACATACCAGATAACCCGCGCCACATTCCTACCGATTGGGTTCCATGAAACGTTAATTTTATGCAATTATTATAGATCTGCAGCGAAACTTTTACAGGAGAGCAAGAAGTTGAGTAATACGTTATCTAGGGCAATTTTAACACTAGAAATTTTAAACAACACAGTTCAACTCTATCCACAAAATATGCTTGAGCAAAATGACATTATAGAAGCGAATGTAGAAAGCCTAAGTGGGCCAGATTGCAGAATGACCGCATACACATAGACCATAACCTCTTCAGATGAAGTTCAAGTGCATCACGACGGCCCCCCATCAGACTAGATGATATGAACATGACTAAACAGAGAATTTAAATTTAACCAACACGATCTCTGATCCTTTTTATTGCATATTTGGGACATCATTTAGAAGAGAATGCGACGAATTCACATGGAATTAAAACTCAGGCTGGACGAAGCTCCCTAGTTAAGTAAAGTTGATGAACTAGAAGCGCAAAAATTACTATGAACCCAACTAAGCCACCTCCAATTAGTGACAAAATTTTAATTTTAAACTAAATGCACGATACGACACCACATTCAAGAATGTTAGACAGATAAAATTTAACTAACCTATCTTAACACTGACACCAAGACCAATTGCAGAACATTTGTGTAGAGAAAATACAAAGGCATAATATGTAAACAATACATAGGATTTCCTAAAAGTCGCTAAAAGAATCGCAGCATAAGGCGAACAGGAGCACTAATTATACAGGTCCCGATTTTCGTCAGTAATTGTAACGTCCTCTCGTCGCTTCACTAGAAAGAAGGTTAGCTAGTAACAAAAATACCTGAATAGACATTCTTGTATTTAAAAGTTCGTTCAACACCATCAATTCTACGACAAATGTGTCTATAAACGGACCAGCCAGCACCTATACATTCTAATTCTAAATGAAGCATTACAGGCAAGTGCAAGCGGCAAGCCGTATACTACGTGGGGCGCGTTCTTGAATATATAGATTGCGTTAGCACGAACTACGGCATAGAAGGTAAAAGAGTGGATACAAACCCCAAGACATCACAAACAACGAAACAGCTGTAAAACTGGCCGAATAATCTATGAAAGGCGGCTTATAATTAAACGACTCAAACAAATCAGCAGTGTTTGGTCGGATACCATCGATCTAAAATTCTTGGAAATTATTTTGCATGCAGAATGAGATCTATTGTCTACACTCCACCTCGTTGCATACAACGTGACACTATATACACATTGTGTCTTCTGTAGGGGGCGCACAATTAACTGTATTTTATCTGAAGGTTTTCCGTCACTTAACGTTCTGGTGAGTCATGTGTGCATTGGTAAATAAGTTCTTTGTAATAATAACTATAGCAATATCTGATATATCTAGGTCCGTGCGTGATGGCAAAATATAACCCATGCGAAGGAAATTCTTACGTTGAGCAGTTATGAAAAATGATGATCAGAGATTAATGTTCAAACATGGAATTCTTCTAAATAAAACATATACAAAAACTATGTCGCAGAAATTCGATTCGATATCAAAAGAATATATTAAAATTTGAAACCAAAATGCAGCCTGAATATTCATATAAATAAGGAATATGACTGAAATCCTTATGTGCCATAGGCACAATATTATTCCTAAATACTTATCAAGAAATTATTAAAAGTCTTATCTTCCATTAATTTTAAATTTTGATTTTATCTATACATGTAAAGTATATCATGGACATAATCCAAGAAAGAATAGAAGTTATGTGAGATGCTTTTTCAGCTAAATATATTTTGTTTGAAAAAAAGGAAACTCAGTTAATGGAGCAAAAAACTATTTTAAAAAAGACGAATAAGTAAAAATAACCTGACACGAACGAGGCGATTCCTCGCATTATTGAGGCTAGCGCAGTTATAGTTAAGCTACTAAGATTCAATTCAGCTTGCTCGTATCAACGGCTGATAATTTATGAAAATAAAAATAACTGTTTTGTGTGTGCATGTGTTTGTAGATTTCCGGTAAAGGATTTAAAAAAATAAAAACCACATTTTGTGAATATTTTTAAAATAACGAGGAGTAGATACCGATGCTGGTCTATTTAATTGATTGTGGAAATATTGTGAACCAGTGTTTTTCGCACGAAGGCCATAGTTTATATACTAAAAATAAAATACTAATAATGCTGTTTTGTCGACATTTGAATTATAAAAAAGATTATTTTTGATCAATGTCTTTTCAAAATAATCCCATTTAGTCAAGGCTTGTGATGTTTATGAACTTGCTTGATTGGAATCAAGTGCGCAAATCAAGTTAGGCCCTTTTGCTCACTTTGTTCGTTCTTTAGCTTGCTCAGTTCATCGGTTTCACGATTTCTTTTGCATTAAGTAGTATAACCTAAAGCCCTTTTAGGGTTATTTAAAACTATACATGTGAGTTTGTTGGTCTGTCTGCTTCCTACTTTTATTGGCTGGATTTCCACCAACTGGGCCTTTAAAAGCTTACGTCTCTGTATAAGTTTCAAATATACTCATATTTTAAGATTATTCTCACGACAATTTTAATAGATGTTTTTTGCTGACTTTTATTGTGCCTGTGTGATAAGCTCAAGTGGTTCCACGCATTCTTACATACATCTAATTGATGCCGTCACAGTTGTTAGGTGTATGACTTAATAATAGAATTCCAAAAACTCATGATTTCTAGTTTTCCTAAAAACGCTTGATCTCTGACTTAGTATACTTAGCCCCAGGATGTTATTTTTCTTCCGATAAATATTGGGTTCTGCCAATAATTTTTTTTGCTGAAGTCATAAGTTACTGTTTTTTGCTATAATTTCTGTCACTATTCAACTCGAAAGTTCCTAAACAGGGTAATTGGTTTGTATAATTTTGCGGTCAAATTCTACATCACTATTATAAGTTGCCTCCATTGGTCATGAACTGTGAACCGACTAAACAGCCTAGTGAATCTACAAAGCGGTCCTTTTCAGCGACATCTTTCTGTTCACCTATTTAGCTATTGGATCGTTTATTTTAATGTGGCACGAACACCTACCCTGCCGAGCTTTATCGTGGCAACTCTTATCGCCCGACTTATATAGCAGGCACTGATTTTTTTTCCTCGCTTTTATGTCTAACTGTCATTCTTCCCTTCTTTATGTTTAAAATGTCACAGATGACTGATACGGTGGAACTAGAGTTACACTTAAGATTCACGGTCTTGATTTGTGTAAATCCTGAGTTCGTTTCAATCCATAACTGAACCTTCTTTCACCGAAGTACTCGTTTTAGAATGACTAGGGTAATTCAGTCTAATGAAGCTTAATGTGTAGATATATCCAGCCGTATATATGTACGTTTTGTATGCACCACGTATTTTTGTATTTGACCTCTTCACAAATACAAGGACTCAAACCAATTTAATTTTGCAAAGAATTATTTAAATCACGTTACTGTCCTTTATGCACCTTCTCACTAATACTATAATCCAGATTTTTTACTGAAATTGAATCGTGGGATTTATTAATGGTTTTGTCGCCCACGAGGCTCACTAATTTTTTTGTGTTAAGTGGAAATATGTTTGTCCTAGGTAATTTCACGTCGTTTCTAAAGATCTTTAACGACTGATAATGCTCAAGTACTCTGTTTCCAGTTTTGATTTCTTTAAATTGTACCAGGTATCCTGCCGTTTTTAATATTGCTGGTTGCTATTGAGTGCAGTAGCCCAAGAATGATTTATTGATGCTTTTATCTTAAACCGTATAAATATTAGCAATTGCTCATATTACACAATCTGGTATTTTCCCTCATACGTTTTGCTCGATAAAAACTTTATTGGCCAAGCATGAATTTCATGGCAGCATGAGTTTTCGGCCATCATCTGTAGGCCGGCGGTTTTAACTTGCTGTGATGACTTTAGCATTTGGTAGAAATCAGTAACTACTAACATTTGAAGCTCACCAAGTGTATTCGGGAATTTATGTAAACACATCTTGAGATGTGGCTGTAAGTGGAACCATGAAATGACGCATAGATGTTTTTAAGTCATTTGACCACAGTTGCACACGAATTTAGATTGTGCACGTATTCAGGTCGAACAGAAACCAATAAAGTTGTTCGATGCCTTTGTTCTTACTTTCTGATTCTCTTTTTCCAAAAAAAATTACTGCTTAGTGTTTTTTCCCTCAACAGTGACATGCCTGCTGGTTGTGGCAGAACTCGGCGGTCGAAAAAAAACTTGAGATATACAGTTGTTGCTCTTTTCAAATTTATCTTACCGTAAGTATGTAGGGTTCGCTTTCAAAAATATTCCAAGGAAAAAAGGAAAATTTACCAGTTGGGTGGAATACGGTATCCGACCTGGTTCAGGTTAGCGTGTTTTTACCGGTTAAAAAAACTTTACAGTCTGAACTCCGCGGCCGAAAGCCATCCGACCTTACCTTCTCGTACTACGGCAAGAAGTTCGATCTATTTGAGATAGGCAAATCACCGTCTGCTTAGGTTTATCCCGAACGATGTGCTTTGGGTGTTGTACTCGCGCCATGACATGTACTGTGGAATCTTCGATCAGACCGGCGATCAGTTTTTTAGTGCTTCTCAAGGTATGGGGGGAACAACGGCAATAACCACTCCATCTCTTTGTTAGATGGTATTGTGCGCGTATTTGACTATACCGGGCGTTATTTTAAGCTGAAGCGAGAAATTGTCTGTCACGAGTATGGATGGAGTATAGTCTCACTCGTGCAAAGGTAACTTCTGCCTTTTGGATGAAAAAAGTCTGCGTTTAGCCCAGACCAAAGGAACCTCGCCTTTTGCAGCCTCTACGCAACACGTACGTTTGGTTTGCATGGGATTTTATCATTAAAAGTTGTTAAAATGTTTGAAGTCTAGTTGTATTCGTATCCAGCCTGCCATCAGTCGACTTGATCCATCCTATGGCACTGGATCCATGTTTCAGGTATCCGCTCCGTTTGTCCTTAATTCTGCCTACCTGCAGATTCAACCTCTGACTGTGGTGATCTGAAGATTAACGAGTACTGTGACAAGTTGTCCCCGAACGAAAATTAACGTTAAATTTGTCGATAATTGTCCAGACTCAATGTGCTTTACGCCTTGAGGTCATGGTTTTAGTAGCTAAAACTTTGTATTTCTGAGCTTGGCATAATCTGCATTTCTTTAAAAAAATTGAAGAATCATACGAAATATGTAAATAATATGATTTTTAAAAGTCGGTGTAACTTTTTTTATCCTTGCACCTAAGTTGGAGCCTCAGGATTTGGTTATGTTAATTGTCTTTTTTCGGTTCAGTAAATATCGTCGATTTGGGAGACGACTCTTCGCAAACCAAACTTGTCCCCTTGGCGAGCATCATTGGGGCGAACGACGTGTTCTGTCTGTCCTACTGCGGCGCCTCGTCCACCAGGATTCTTTGCGCGTAAGTCCTCTTTTCAGCCTCGGTCAAGTGGTTGGGTTTAAGTCGATGTGTTTTTGGCCGTGTAGGCGAAGCGTTTGCATTCCTGTCAGTTTTGTTGATTGCACACCCATCGAAAGTCGTGTGTGTGTGCTACATATTTCAGAAAATCAGATTGGAAAGTAGCAACTTTGTGGGCTCACAGTGGCAGTCTGGATTTGACTTTTTCTCATCGCTACTTACTACTTAATGCTACTAGGACATAAAAGGGGTACTACTTCAGATTTCAAACCAGATGACTTATCAGCATGAGCAATACAGTCTTCACCGATGTTCTCTCGTCGATTTGATGTCCTTTTAAAGTTTGACCGTTGCACTTTCTTTCCACTCCTGATATTGTGTCAATACACTTCATCTCTAGCGCTTTTCGCTGCTTATTTCCAAATCACTGATCTTTATTTCTTCTGTAAATGTGCTTTGATTTATTCTGCCGCGTACGAACTTATCCGCATCCAGCCAAGCGTTCTTTCTGACGGTGGCTATCATGCGTCTGAACATCACCTACCACTGACTACGTCACATTTAGATTTATCTAGGCACAGTAACTGTTTGCAGTCATTTTGCGCGCTGATTTGCGTCCTCAAAAATTGCTCTTTATCTATGCAGATATTGCTCAAGTGTAAAGTTAAATTCTCATGCCACTTCGATATCTCTCGCCCAGCCTTTCTTGCCGTTCCTGAGCGCCCCGTCACGAAAGCTACCTCTCACGAAGTCTAGCAATTGCGCTAATTTTGATAAATTTGTTTTTGAGTTTTTTTAGGAATTTAAACTTCTGTAGGTAGCAATGCTCTCTAAAAGCGCTATCACCGTTTAACTGATAGAAAGTAAGGAAATTTCTTGTTTGATTAGCTCCTGGTCAAAATTTCACAGGGGCGGCTTTTAATAAAACTGCTAAATGTTCACCTCGGGATAACAAATGCGCGTCGAATAGACCAAAAACAAATATCCTATGAAGGCACCAGATCACCCTAGGTGTTAGTGTTAACTTTTTTCTACGGCTGCATTCTGTAAGGAAGGCCTGTAAATGTTGAGTTTGATGTAAACATTGTGTACGTATGCCTTCTGCTAAAGTAGGAAATCGGTACCTCTTTCGTATTCCCCTTTCCAAATACACTGGGTAGAGAATCGTTCATTTTGGAGACAGTGGGAGGTGCGTGAAATCCAATCAAACTGCGCGTATACGATGTTGCATACTCACATTCTGATCGCTACGCTCAGTCGTTTTTTCTACTCAACATGCCTTGTCAATGAAACGAAGGCACACTCTTAGGTATTCATTGCTCATTTTTTGCTGCTTGTAGTCGCAACCGAGGTCGAGTGACTCTGTGTGATGTCGGCATCGGTGAATGCGAAGAACTGGTGAGTTGGTTCTTTTGTGGTTATCAACGGAGGAAATCAAGTGATTGTTAGGCGTTTCTGTCAAGAGCTCACTCTGGTTGCGGTTCTGTCCGTCACCTTGCGGAGTTAACGGCTATGTGATGATAATGACAACGTCCCGTAAACCTTTACGAAAAGCATGTGTGGTGGTAGACCAGTGTTCTATTTTTAACATCCCTTCAGTCGGGCACATTTAGCCGTTGTGACAGCTTAGTTGCCGAACTATGGATTTGTACTTTAAACCATGGCTTTTGGTTGTCTTCAGGATGTGAGCCAGAGGCGCGGTGCCGACGTGAATGCAGTGACGACCCTGGACGACAGCGGCAACATCTTTGTGGCGGGCGGGGATGATACCTGCATCCGGGTATGCACCGATTTTGCCCATACGTTCTTCCACTAACCAACCGTCGACGGCTAGAGACCTTAGCCTGACTATTTTCGTCGCCAGATTCTGTCACAGTAGATAACTTTTTGAACAATTTTGGTCATTTGTGAAGGGCTTAATGGGCCAAAAAAGCTGCTAAGAACACCCGTCTGTGTGTTCATCAAGCTGCGCACTCGTCCTCAAGTTAGGTGGTTAGCGAGATCCACTTGTGGGTCATAGGCCAACGTAAATCCAATCTCGATGGCCCTCTTGTGTCTGGCACTTAGTCGAAACACTGCTATTAGTCCTTTAACAATTGTTATGGAAACCTGGGTAAGTTTGTGTGAGTCAATGCGGTCATTCTCACTGTTCTATTTTTGAAGTAAATTTGGCCTTGTGTGTTACAAGGACAAACACTTCCCATCTGCACTAAACACGACCCATTCTACCTAATTCGAGCAATTACAACATAACTACATCGATTACTGCAGTTTTCACTAGTCTTACCTGTAGATCAAGGGTTCATTTGGATGTATCTGAGAGACTTTCCTTAAGGTATTTATGTTCGACCTGGATTAGTCCTACTAATGAAGAAAGTCGAATGCTTGATTGCTCGTGGCCTGGTTGTGACACAATGCGTTGTTATTTGTGGTTTGCTTTGATCCCTTTCATGCCTGCTCTCCCTCCCTTAAGATGTTCGACACCCGGGCGCTGAACGAGGGCTGCTTGGCGTGCTTCCCAGGCCACGCCGACGGAATTACCTACATCGACTCGAAGGTAAGTTGTCGTCGATTTCAGTCGAAGGATGCAAGTCCTCCCGACTAGGCGCAACTTGTCAAATTAACTCTTTATTCAATTCCTCAGCAAAGTAGGTAGTATCCAGGATGATGGGTTAAATCTGTGACCTGTTTTGTCTTCATTAGTCGATCCACTCTGCCACGCGCCATTACCATCAAACCAGAACAAATCTTGTTGCAATGCACTGAAGGCTGGAGACAGCTGTCGCATCCTCCCTAGTTGGGCGGATCGTGCGCCAGCATGTATAACCAAAACCCGACCAAGTTTTTAACCACTCATCATTTCAAACGGCCTCTCAAAACATGTTAGCAAACCAGTCCAGATTTTGTATTACGTCGAATTCGTAGTTAGTCCACGAGTTGAGGAACGCCGGCGTCTTGCAGCCCATGGCATGCATGATGTCTTGAGTGCAGCCGAAATGAGTTGATGTAGGACGCGCGATGGGAAATCAGGCTGTTGGCCTTAAAATGGCCCGTGAAGATGGAACGTCGCTCAGGTCATTTTTTGGTTTCTAATGAGCCGAATTTACTCACGTTGGCGTTTCAATTGTTTGGACAAATGAGAGAATCACAGAGAGTAAACGGGGGCGTGCTTGACACCTGTGATTGGTCAAAATGGCTTCGTGTCGTAACAATGATTTAACGAGGTTTTTATCCCTGTTTAAGAATGACGGTCGCTATTTCTTGTCGAACAGCAAGGACCAGACTGTTCGTCTGTGGGATATACGGACCCACAGTAAAGCCGGCTCCGAGCGTGTAGGTTGTACCGCTTCCGTTTATTCGTTTGGCCAATAAACACCACATCGGCTTACTACTGGGTTTTCTTCTATTTAAGCGAACGCACCCGCGTGAACCCTGGGACTATCGAATTCACCGAGTGCCTCGTTCATGTACGTTCGGAGCAAACACTCCTACGGTTTTTTCTGTCCAAGCTAGTCCATTGTCAGGTGGCCTAAGCTGCACATAATCGACGTCACAACTTTCCTGCTGCTCACGACCTCTTCTGAAACTGACGTCTATTTTTCTTGTCTGCATGACAATTTCGCTCTGCCTATGATCCCCTCCTCTCGCTCTAATTGGTTACCTTATGTGAACGTTCCTAAGTCACGCATACACTCGTTAGCTATTGTCCCGGAATAATCCCACATTTCAATACTTGATAATGCATTATTAGTGAGGACATTTTGCTGGGACCTCATCCAACCTCACAAATTTTAGTAAATATCTTCTTTCCAACTGGCGATTTTTTACAGCGCATTTAATGACCACATGTACCGTTTTTCTGGGTTTGTTGCAGATCGCAAGCGGCCACCCAACGACCACCAGGCTAAGTCAGTTCTCACACTCAGTGGCCACACTGTGCGCTACACTTTAATCAGGGCTAAATTCTCCCCTCTTCACTCCACCGGACAGCAGTTCGCCTATGCCGGGAGTGCCTCGGGCGACTGGCACATCTGGGACCTCACAACTGGCCAAAAGGTACAATTTGAGTGTTGTGTGTGTGGGGGGGGGCTCTAATTCCGACTTTCGTAACGCTTGTTACGACCCTACTCGGCGAGCATTTTTTTCACTTATTGTACGAGTATTGCTTTAAAACTGTCCTGATCGGAAAGTAATTTATGGTTTTGCAAACAGGTAGCGGTAAATTTGATTTTAAAGACTTTGTTCTGTATCAGGGCTTACTCCCTTGCTAAACCCCTGGAATATGAAATAATGAAGTCGCCGGTATTTTATAGAAGGTCAGTAGACACGAAAGCAAATGGTGGATTAAGGTTCATTCTTTGTGCAAGGAATGGTTTTTTACATCGCTCCACTTAACCGAAGTTACTTTTTTTACTCGCATTTGCTATTCCATTTTACGTCTTCGGGTGCTCTTAACGTCCGACTTATTCATTTGAGTCAGTACACCTGCTAGATGTCCAAGTTTATCGGAAATTAATGTCTGTATCAGTTGTTGCAACTAAACCCCAGTTTCGTCTATTGATCAAGTTTTAACTTGCCTCAATGTTTGGTTTTAAAATTCGTACTTAATGAGTGTATATTTGATAGGTCTCCCCAGTGTTCCATTAAGTATCGAAACATTGTATGGCGAAATGATAAACGTTGGCAGGTCGAGGCTTAAACTATGCAAATCACGAGGTGGCATTCAACTAATCTCCTATGTGCGCAGGTGTCTGAGAACTTCGCGAAGGTGATCACTTTGCGGGATGTGTCTTGGCATCCCTGGGAGCCGCGTGTTGTCACGTCGGGTCTTAATGGCTCCATTACTTGCTGGTGTCAACGGAGGAAGGGCGAGGCCCAGAGGAAGCCTCTTTTTCTCACACCGCATCATCATGGAGCTCCACCGACTGAATCCAACGACCAGGAGTCGAACGACGAGGCGTCTGAGTCGGCTGATGAGGAGGATGAGCAGGCAAGATTCCTCCGCTCGACGGTAGCCAAGACAGAGGACCTGTCGAATCTGTCCAGAGCTGGTTTTTATTACAGGGTGAGTGGCGCCAGTGCTGATCTATAGCTTGGACTGAATTACGCCCTGTCAACCGCTTCGGTTAGGTGTCAAGACAAAGTGATGTGGAAACGCCTCTTTCCCACACCACTTGGTACCACTTGTGTTCGTGGGTAATCCGGGATAGGTCGTATTCAACGTACTCAGACATCCACATAAATAAACTGTGCATCTAAACCACCTTAAATGTTGCTTCTGTGGAGGAGTTGATACAATTTGCAATAAAATGCGACTTTTGCATAAAATTGTGGTAGTTCTCTACAATGGTTAGATAAAGCAATGTTTCTAACATCTCTTCATCCCATAACACAGTTTAGGCATATATGAGCGAACCACCCAACTTTCTTAGTTGGCTGTCTGACCGTTCTAATTAGCTCTTTCATTTTGGGGCTGGAATTTAAACTTGTCCGCGGACTAGCATTCGTTCGCCTGACCTGGCGATGCAGTTTGCCTGCATTTTTGTTGAACTGCATTGATTCGTACCGACTCAGTGCTGCGCGGGCTCTCGCGTAGCGCTGCGAAAACGTTTCGATGAATCTTAGCTCAGTCTTAATCACCACTTTGTCTGTGAAATCTCGTTTAATTGGTCTTTTTAGTGTGCCATTGTCGTCAAGTAGTGAAGGCATTGCCTGTTTGCACCGCATATCACACAAGGCAGTGCAAGTTGGCCATTTCCCATAAATATCCTACCCACAGCTAAAATAGCAGTCTAATTTTTCAAAATTTAGAAATTCGGTTCTGGAATTTTCCTCGTGTTGTATCGAATGATCCGCCGTTTGGACGTGTATATGTTTGTCACTGCACAACACCATTGGGAGTTGGTGATGGCCTGTCATGGTTTTCATTAGTCCTAAGCTGAAGGTTGTGAGGTAAATTCCTTTTGCAAATCTTGTACAAATCGGTCAACAAACAATGACCTTGTTTCGGCTAACTGTTATGTCCTGGATAGAAGTTGTGATATTCTCCCGCCTAATTGAGCCCCAGTCTACAATTTGACCGTTTGAAGAGATGCCTCCGGAAACGCCTCATTTTTATTCACGATCTGTTTAATTAGATGCTTGTACGGCAGATGCCACAGTTAACAGTTAACTTTTGGGGAAAAATGTTAACGTTCTGCCGTTTTTAGTTCCCTCGTCGTCGTTCCGTTCCATCAAACTCCTACATCGAAGTTGTCTCCGATTTGTCCAACACGGAGTCGCTGAACAGCATCGACGAGGAAGGTGACTACGACGAGGACGACGACTGGGCAGAGAGTGATTCCATTGAGGGGACAGGTCTGCGGGATCTAATGAACGCTACAAATGAAGAATACCTGTCTGAAGATGACCCAGACTTCCGTCTGCCTCGTGGTTTCTACGCCGTTCTCGGCGAAGATGAGGACCTCGACGGTGTCAACGACTGGGAGTGGTCCAGCGCACCCACCTCCAGTACCACCGGCGAGTCGGATGGCGGCGTGGCAGAGCGTCGCACGACCCGGTCACAGACACGCCGAGCAGCTTTACAAAACGCCCGTCAACGGGGCAGACGGCGTCGACAACTTCAGAACCGCGATTTATGAACGATTTTCTTATCTTTGATCATCATTGTTTTTTTTATCATTGCCTTAGTGTGGCAGGGGTATTTGCATTTGTCATAATATGAATCTATCCATACAGAAGTACTTTATTGCACTGTCCGGTTACAATATTTTTTTATTTCAAGGGAAAAAGGCTATGATTGCGAATGTGCTTTTTAGCGCACATAATCTCCATTGAAAGTGGTGTAACTTAATTTTAAAGCCATAACTATAATAGAAGACAAAATCCAGATAAAAACAAAATCCTTTATGAGAGTTGGGGATTGTTTTTGCAGTAAATGCGAGTCTCATGTGGAATTCACATTTTTACTAAGCAATAAATAGGTTTGGGGGGGGGGGACAATAGTTGCCAATAGGAGTTCTGCGTTCTCCGTCTTAAGGACAGTATAAAAACAAAGGTACCTGTCTTAATGTAAAAATTTTGCTTGCAATCAAATTCATTTCTTAAATAGCGTGTTTAATAGAAGCATATGGCTTTATTAGGTTGATTTGGACCAGTGCCTTGCCTTCCACGGTATAGTGTGGTGTTTCGTAGTCCAATTTTTCAGTTTCGTCGACGGATAGGGCTCGCGTTTAAGTTCCTTCCACACAAATAAGTTTTAGGTATTCCCTTGCTCATGAATTTGACCTACTATAATTATGTTTGCCCGAGTTTACCAACCCACCTTTATATGATCAATCGCAACGTCGTGTATATGTTTAGTGCAGACAACGTGTGGCATTAGTATTGGTTTGAAATTTCAATTACGCTGTACGGCTTAACACAGTTTTATAGATACAGGTGTTTTCTTGCACAACTTCCAAGTCTATTTTGTAGCTTTCTAGGGCAGATAACTGTCAAAAATACACAACAATGATAACAACCATTGCGGGTTAAATTTTTGGATGGTTTTTTAGTAGTAGCAGGCTTTTTAACAACCAGAAGCATCATTTTAGGTAACTTTCCATAATTTTACAAAGCCTCAGATACTTAATAAAGTCAATTCTCAACAGTAGTGCCAAACCAACATCTGCCTGATGTCAAAAAGGAAACAATTTACGGTTTCCCAGGTGGTAAAAGGTCCTTTTGTACGTTTTTCCCCCTTCAAGTATTTTTATGAGCAGAATACTGGAATCATTTTAACACACTAGAACGCCGAACGACCATGCACTCACTTCACTTTACACTTTCATTTATTCTGATTTATTTACCTTGTCAGCCAATGTAACTCATCAGTAATTTGACGTTTGTGTAGAATAGAATTAAACTTTTCCTGTTTACTTTGAACCGAAAAAAACTGTTAAAAACTGACCTATTACTAACCAGGAGTTAACTGTTAAATGATCCCACGACCTGATGAATTGCCAGCAGATTTAATGGAGAGGAGAAAATAAGACTGTGAACTGAAGTACTGTGTATGAGAACATATTGATTATTGAAATCTAAGGTAAGGACGTTTGCTTTATGATACAAAGCATTGTAACACTCATCGCAGTTTCAGGCATTTGTTGGAAGCCATTAGATTTTAATATTTATATTGCTGTGCCGTTCGAATTATATTTTACGGCGTACTTCCGCATTAACCTGAATATCAGTCGAGTTTGCAGTCAACTAGCTTTAAAGAAGTTGTGGCGGGCACAGTTATCAATCATGAGCGAACGTAGTTAGCAAGCCTGAGCAAACACTATTCAGGCGATTTTCGTGAATTCACTTCATGTAACTGCCTGCTCAAGGATTGATGCTAAGAGAATCTATATTAACGCACTTGTTATTCTGTACTGACACCCTCCGCTACTGCTTTAATAAATTGGTTGAGCTACTGGTTATCTACAGTTCTGCTCTACTTTCAGTCGTCCGTGTCAACGTAGATTGTCGGCCCTGGTGTGGTTTCCTTCGCCACACCACACCACAATTTGAGCTACATTTAGATTTTTTTAAAGTTTCTAAAAATAAACAAAGGTTTCGGCCAACGATTCAAAAACAATACTTAATTGATTTAGCTTAGATTAGCTAATAGTTTAACCTACCGTTGCTTTAATGCACTTTGGCACAAATGATAATGGCACAGTCGATAACTTAAACCAAAACATTTAATCATTATGTATAAATGGTCGCTGTGATTTTGCGGCATTAGCGCCATTTCATGAACAAAACAAATACATGCTTGAATTTGACTAGAATTAGCATAGTTTCTTAAAATAAAAGTCAAAACTTCCGCCCACCACAATTTTCATTGCTGCAAAAACATAAATGTGCTAGCCAAAAAAAAAATAAACTAAAATTCAGATACAAAAACCAAACTGGTCAAGTAGCTGAATACTTTGTGGTGATTTTAATTATGGCTTCTTAACCCTGGTTTAGAGGGTTTTAAATCTTGGACTTTGCGATTTCGAAAATCAAAAGAGGAACATGGTTTATCAGGTTGTAAGAAATCAACCTTAATTGAAGTATTACTTTAGAATGCCAAAAAAACACCATAGTCTTTCCTTTTAAGAAATAAAAAAAACTGCGCATTGTCTGGATGGGATGCAAGGAGCTTTATTCATTCATTTTAAATTTGCATAAAATCAGAAGAATAATATAACAGGATTATAAATTAAAAATTGCAATAATATGCATATTTTAGAAAAGCATACTTTTCGGGATAATGTCCAAAATACCAACTTGTTTAATGTATTCTATCCAAATTTGAATTTTATAAAACTGCCGTTAATTTAATTTAAACCAATCATCAATAGGCGTCACTGTGTCTATCGACTGCTTTCCTCTGTTTAGGCATGGATGCGTATTTCGCAGCATTCCCTAGTGATTTTGAGTGCCTTGGTGTGGCTTTTGCTAAAGCCTACTATACTCGTCTTCAGACTAACCGAAATTCCGTTGCTGATCTATATCATGTAAGGTTGGGAGTATGTGGACAATTCATTTTGACAGGATATGGCTTTGATGACATATGAGGGTACTAAAATCCAAGGAAAGCAGGCCATTGCAAAACACTTTCAAGTTTGTTGGCTAACACTTCTTAAGGAACTCGATTTAGGGCCTTACCTGGTCAACAATCGTCGTCGATATCAGCACATGCGATTCTCAGCCTGTGGATAACGGCTACCTTGTATTTGTCAACGGTCAACTTAAGGTATGCACTGTCACTGTTTTTTCGTATTTTGTCTTTCTGTTATTAACTCATAAAATCTGTGTGCACCTTCCATTCCACATTTTTGTTTATTTTTAGGTTGATAATGGAGATCAAGCCTTGCCGTTTTCGGAGATTTTCTTGTTAAAGAAAGTCGGTGACTGTGTTCTTATCCTTCACTCGATGTTCCGGTTGAATTTTCACAACTTCTAGACTTTTTGTTTCACATGACGCCCATGTGTTTATCAGCGTCGTTTTGCTGGCTGGACTAGATGTTGATTGCGAAACTTTGCAATTATCTTTACTCCTATTTACCACCCTCCTAATCTCTACACCTTCCACCCAGTACCGTGCACGCTTTGTTTCTGCTGCGTCGGTTCGCGCCGCTTTTAATCGCCTTTTCTGATCATCATTGATTGAGATCAGATTCACAGGCGTTTTCTTGAAAAAAACCGCTCTGGTTTCTCGAAACGCACTAAGTTATTTAATATGGTCTGTGAGTCTTCCAGCGGAAATTGTTGAGCCTGTCTGTTGACCTATGAAATCTGTGGGTTTCTGCGTACTATGATATCCTCTCAGGTCTTTTCGGTCATGTGTGCCGTAGCTTATCATCTTCACCTGTTCCGCGAGTGGTGGATTTGACTAACGGGCAGGCGTGCAACTAGCCCATCCGCAAGGAGATCGTCATTTGCACAGGCGAATTATTACTGCGTGGGCCATGGACGCCACCGTAAGTCTTCGGAGCATGTTCAAATGGTTGGCAGGATTCGGGGGTCGTTGACACGGTAAATCGTTCTGTGGTTGACTCACTTTGCTGGTCTAGCAGATTTTGAAGCATAAATTTTCTATATTCTAATGCCGATGTAGAAGAATGTAGCTGGTTAAATTGTTTTAAAATGATATTACTTGAAATGGTGTGGGGGCAATTTTTAGACAATTGTTGATACGTAACTACGATGTCTGTCCCGCGCGGTGTCGTGGTAAGAAGTAAACCTCATCAGGATCGTTGCTGGAGCCCTGTTTGAAGGGGCAAGGGTCCGCCCGTCTGCTTTCCATTTGTTATGCTTTTCAGCAGGGGCAGTCAGCTTTTTTATGATGGTAAGGAATAGTGGACGTTGTCATTTTTACCCCCGGAGGAGTTTTCTTGCTAAAGTGTTGACGAATTTCCTTCAGAAACTAACTAGTTACTTGTTGGTGTATCAACCATCCTATGACGTCAAACACGGTATGATATTTTTCTGTTCCCCCCTAAACATTAACATAAGTGGAATGGCCGACGAACGATGCTGGACACCCACGGTGCATACCTGGGTGTCCTCGAAACTGCCTAGAAACGAAACCGCATCTATAAACACTCATGCGGTTGATATGTGCGGTTGAATTTATCACCAGCCTGGTGTAAGGCATTGCTTCAAAAGAGTGTCTTACATCAAGTTGATTTGGTTGTTGTTTCACCAAAGTTTGTGACTACTCAGAGCAACTCATCTCAAATTACCGTTCGGTTAGTTATTTTGCCCAGATTAGAAAGGTAAACTATCGGTTACAAGTTATGACTGCTTGCACGTGAAACCGTTTAGCATGCTCGAGTGTGCGATTTTATGAAATCAGTATTTGACACGCAGGCTTCACACCTCATTTGCAACGCACTTTTAATTATCAAGTGAATATTATTTTAAAATGGCTTAAGGCTAACACAAAGGCCTTTTTAGCGTCATGACGGCATTAGCGAAACGTGTAGCAGTAGAGACCAATTCACCCCAAACAAGATGAAAATAAAAAAAGTTTCCATTGTTCATGCTCCATTGTTTTAGAGTTTAGGTAGAACTGCAGCTATCTGCTTTCAACTTGTCCTATTCATGTGCGAGGCTTTGGTGTAAGCGTGCCCAACTGCTTAGTTGTGTTGCAACCGCAGAAATCAGTCAAGCAGGGGATAGGACCAACGGGGTGTTGTGGGGCCCAGCATGTGGTCTTGAATCACCCCGGGGCCAAGAAATCAACCCTGGCCCGATTACGTGTCCCTGATACCCGCGATGAGGAAAAAGATCGGAGAGGATGTGGACACAAACGTTTACTTCCGAGCTCAACCACGTTGGTGACGTGTGTGGGGTTCGCGCGTGTGTATTTATACCTCGGATGTGTGAGTTATACATGTGTTAACATCGAGAACTGGGTGTGAGGATAATCCAAGATAAGTATCCGTGTGAATGAGGTGGGAATTGAGGATCCGCGCGGCTGGTGGCCTGCAGCGAAAAGAAGAACCCTGTGTCGGAGGTGGAGCGACAGGATTAAGGGTTGTGAATAAACACGATTCACAATAGGGGACACCCAAAATTACTTAAATGTTCTAAAGGCACATCGTTGTCATTGTCAGAAGTTTGCACTCTATTAGAGCCCATCATTATGAGCACGAACTCGTGATTACTTGTTCCTCAATTTCCTTCGATGACATGCAACCGTTATTTAAAAGCACCTATGCTTTAGACTATTGTAGATTGAAAAGAGGTCAGTGAATTATTGTTTGTGCAAGTCCAAAGGAGTCTGATGATACCTGGGATAAATTTTTAAATAAAGTGTTTATTGATTGCTAAAATATTTTTTTATAGCTGGCTTGCAGATTTACAGATGGGAAAAAATGATTTCAACTGGAACATAATTCCAAAATTATTTGGTGAGAATTCAGGTAGTTAAGTGCTTAGCCTTAGTTTAAGCAGCTTGAAGTTAGTGGTTGAATACAACCCAGAACAATGATTCGGAATTAGATTTCATGAAAACCAGTAGATGAAGATGGATTTCGCTGCTAAGTATTTCTAAGACTTCAGTCAAAGTTCATGAATAGCTGTTTTGTGCTATTTTAATTTGACATGTTCTGAATCTGGTTTAAAAATCGTGATAATTTAAAAGGCGTTTGATGGCAATCAGTTAACTAACGTAAGAAATGCCCAATAAAGCTCTGGACAAGCCTATAACCAAATTTGACATTCTTTTGTCTGACTGCGCGTCCCCTACGTAGATGGTTGGCCGCGATATTTGCTTGAGCCATACACAGTGACTTCTTCACATTTTTCTCAGTAGTTTAAAGACCAAGGAAGGTCCAAATACAGTCATCTATTAGAGCTCAACACCGAGTCATGTAAGACTCATAAAAGAACAAACTAAGATAAATAATAAGAAATTCTGATGATGCAAATGGACTGATTTTTTGTAATAAAAGTATAATGTCAGTCCTTTGTGACCGTTACCTAATATTCTGCAAATTTGACCAGTTGCAAATGCTTGTGACATTCAAATTATCATCGATGTGTTTTAATTTACTGTGGTTGAATTAATTAGCATGTTTAAATAAACATTTTAACCTCTTTATAGCGTTACAACATGCATTAATCTGGGCACTAAAGACAAAGGAATACAAAATGGCAAGAAGTTAATAAAAATACTCATATCTTCCCCCATTCTTAGGATTAGGGAATATAAATAACCTGCAAAGCATGCTTTGAGGACTTCTCATTAAAATTTAGTAAATCCTATCTTTAAAAAATTTATGATGTTATACGCAAAGTGTAAAAAAAGTCAACAAAAGGGCTTCATGGATTCACACTTCTATGATTTACGGGTTTTCGCGTAATTTACAAATTTATCCAAAAGAGCTCAAGTTTAATTTTGAGACCATGGACATATCCTTTTTTAGTTTTCTCAACACTTGTTTAAAAAGCAATGAATTATATCCAATGAAATTAAAAAGACAACTAACTTTTCCTGTTTAATTATCAATCTAAATTTTATCTATCAGTGACCAGCATTTTTTATTTCTAGAAGTGATTGATGGTTATTCAAATTTATGACATATACTCCACATGGAATGATGAAAGATACGCTAGCTAAATCAAGTTCGAAAAGTGCCTATCAAAAGGACAAAATGCTTTCAAAGCTATGATATCTAGAACTATTTACATAATCCATGGTACTAATGGTACCAGAGGAAACTAGGCAGGGTAAAACAAAGGGAGTGCGTGCATAAGAATATTAGCGAAAAGTATTTTAGATCATTTTAAAATTGAAAAAGGTGTAGAAATATCACATGATTAAAAATATTAAATACTGTTTCACAAAATGTGATTTGTTTAAGTGATCGTCAGCCAGCTTACGTATTTTTAGTGATGCTTACTCAAACGCGTGCCATTGGACAAACGCACACCGGCCTGGCTTGTTCTCTGTGTAAAACACCCGTACCCTAGAATAAAGAAAACTGTTAAAACAGAATAAACTTTACTGTCCAATCACATGCCAGAACTATACATCAGATGACATCTTTTTGAGTCCACCCCGCCGGCTGTGTGTCTTTGGTAGGCTGAATATCTTTGCATGTCATTGGAACACAAAGAAAAAAATTTGGCTGAGGCCAGTGTGGTCCAACGTGCCTGCGCCGCTATACGTCGCTACTGTAGAATTCCCGAGCCCTAGTATGCAGAAGACTTCTACATCAAAACATGATTTACTGACCAATCCCAAGCCAGAACCACATATCAGACGCCGTCCATCCGAGTCCACCACGCTGACTATGCCGCTCATTATATAATGCTTCTCATTCGTGTCTATCTCGTGTTGGCTGCTTATCTTCCTCGCATGCCATTGGAACGCAGAGAGACACGGGGTTGGCTGAGGCCAGGTGGTCCAATATGTCTGCTCCCCGATCCGTCGCTACACCCTCTCGCAATTTCGCCTTTCTCAAGGCACGCCCGTGAATTTGAGTAGAAACCTGACCCCTATTTAAGGCCATTATTTACCTGTCTTCAATCAAACCCATTCCCTAGATTCCAGGTTTTTGCATTTGCATGCGGCAGTATTAAAGACTTATGATTCCTCCAACACCTTTTCTGTCGCATGCATGATAATCAACCTTGATGATATGGCCATTTCAGAGGGACGGGCTGACAGCAACCTACTTATTTATTTATCGGCCCGTTTCGTATGCTTTACTTGACATTATGAAATTTATATTTCATAGGTTTAAATGACAACAAGTGTCTTAAACTAACTTTAGACGAGCCGTGGATTCTACCATTTTTCAGGAATTCCACTCCTGATTCCAATTTATAACATACTCTACTCAGTCTTTTCAAGGAGCTGTAATCCGTTTTAGAAATAAAAATTTAAGTCCGTCCTCTTGTCCACCAAGTTAGGCAGTTTTAATAAAGGTGCATGCTTGCTTACTTTGGCCCAAATGATTCTCACAAGAACACAAATATTTGAAGAAATTACTTTTTCATGAGTGAAGTCTTAACTATTCGATTTATGTGAGGTTATAACTTCTGTACAATAAGCGCTTTCTTACAAATTATTAATGAAATAAGGCTAAAAAATAATTCCAAAATTTTAAAATTCACTCATTTTGTGTTGCATTTTTTGCATGCGGCTTTTTCGATGGCTTCGCTTTTAATCTATACTCATGCGTCATTACGGCAAATGTTCACAACACATTTTTGACATTGATTTTCGGATGAATTTAATAGGCAATTGATTCTGGACAAGAAAATGCTGAATAAAGGAGTGCTTTTTAAAGATATTAACATAAGGTGTCATGTGTACACAGTTTACAGATCAATAGTCGACATTCCAGATTTTGTAAGGTGTGTGCGCTGAGAGTGAATTTTCCTATTTTTAAACATTTTTTAACTGATTAAATGCAGTTTAAACGTGCATATGTTGAAATACTTTCGAATCTGGTGGGCAGAATTAGGCCAAACCAATAAAGTCAGTGACGTAAAATGCAAGGCCAATTTTATCCCTTGCCTTGCAAGTTATATCATTTACTGGGGTTAACAGAATATAAAGGGGTTAAAATTATGATAGTAAAACAAAAGTGATATAAGAAACAACGGTTCATTTGCCTTCACGATCGTCTAACATTAAATAAATCAAGAAATATTGACTAGAACTTTAAAGTTCTGTACACATAGCTCTGTTTTTTACAAACACTATTAGCATTTTATTGATAAGAAAAGGAGGATATATGAACCAAACAGGCAGTTAAATTTATCGCCCTTAACGCCAGCGATGAATAGAAAT